TAAATCCTTCTATACAATGAAAACATTCCGAGTAGATATCGAGTTCACACATAATTCTTAAATATTTAAAGCTTAAGATTTTTAATACTAAGGAACTTCTGTAGAGCTTTTGCTAAAAAATCGTGGCAAAAAATAAAAATCCTGGTTAGAATAATAAAAAATATATAGATGTCATGTGGTGTCATCTCGTCCCCCAAAATGCTTAAAAAAAGGCACATTTTTTTATTGTTATTACTTAACACCGTACTAATTCCCGCCTTCACCACAAAGAACAAAAAAAAAAAAAAACCAGATGAAAAGCATTCCAGTACCATATACAAAAGCGCGGTACCAAAGATCCGAGCCCCTTTCCCCCCATAAACTTAAATTTTTTTTTTGATTGATGATGATTCTATGTGTATATAGTACGTAAAATGTAATTAAGTAATTGCTATTAACAATTTATTTTATTATTTAACGCTAATTATTAATCTAATAATTTATTTCTTATTGTTTTTAGTTATCAAAATCAAAGGAATATGTTTGCTGGCCTATTGAGATATGATTCACACACAAGAATGGTGGACTTTCGACACTGGACCCCTCCACCCCCTTGAAAATTTGTTGTGCACGCCACTGATTATTCATCATTCATCGCTACTCGTTAACAACGAAAGCTTTTGTTTGCCTTGAAATGAACCGAAATCGTCGTTCTTACTAAAAAATACACTGCTGGCCACTGTAAATGCAACACCCTGAAGGAAGCATGCAAATAACATGAAATTTACAACATGCATTAGCGGAGGTAAGATATGCAAATGATTAGAATTTCGGCGCAGACACACATCACGCGCGCCTGTGGCGCCACCTCAAAGCGCTATTTTAGGCTTGGAGATTTCGACGATTTCAAGTTCGGCAATTGTGATTTTCTTGTGGTTTTTTCAAAAAACGATCAGTTATATCTTGTAGAAAACAGCGATCAGCTTTTGATCAAGTACCCTAGTTCTACAGAGGAAGGATAGTGGCCTACCGAGATTGTGG